CGTGTCACTTCGAGAAACGGACCCTCTACAAGAATGGGAAAAATTAAAGTACGTATACCCAAGTCTGTTTAAAATTGCAAGAAAATTCCTATTAATTTTAGGATCATCGGTCTCATCTGAAAGATTGTACAGCACCGCGGGAAACATTATTTCCGAAAAGCGTAGTAGGTTATCTAGCAATCGAGTCTCAACGCTAATTTTTCTCAATTCTTTAAAGAATAAATATTGGGAACTATGATGTAGGATAAATAAGGTTCAAACAAACTTTACAATAATTAAGGATTCAAAACATTATTTTATTTTAAGTTAATTATTCTTAAGGAATAATTTAAATGTGAGGCAATTTAAATGTAATCACCGCGCTTATAAAGATTACAATGCAATTTTTATTGACTGTGATTCAAGTCAGGACATATAAAAACTCAAGGCAGTAAGATGTAGCAGTCAGCAAATCGACCAATCACGATAGAGTTACTTTACATTTTCTGTTGTGATTAGCTGATACGATTACTGCTACGTCTTACTGCCTTATGCGTCGTCTACAATGGGCAGTAGCAGTAGTGGATTAAAGAGTAGGCATAAAAATCAACAAATCGTAATCGAATATGAGGGAAATAATTAACTATCATTGGTCGATTTCTACGTCTACTCTTTAATCCACTACTGTTACTGCCCATTGTAGACGACACATTATGTTTTTGTAAGTGTCGGGCTTTAGACTTAAGTCCACTAAAAATATATGTAAGTGAATTTAATACGTATGTACATGACCAAAGAGTACAATATAAGAAGTCTCGTCTATATAATATATTATTTATAATATAAATATCATTATTTTGATAATTCATTTAAACCCAATTTGTAAGATGATACGAAAAAAAAAATTTGAAAAAGTCAAAACTTTTTTTTTATTAGTTGCTGGGAAAAGAATCGAAAAAATCGATTATTCGGAATCGATCCTTTTTTATCCGATTAATGGACTGTAAGAATTAAACTTAAAAGAATGGCTCGATTCCGAAAATCGATCTTTTTTTTTAAGAATCGGCATCACTATCGTATACTATTTTCAGAAATTTCATGAATTAAAATATTCCTCGACTGATAGAAAGTGTTAAATTTGTTAAAAATGATTGAAGAATATTTTTAAAATAACATATGTGCTTTAATGACTGGATCGTTTAAAATATTAAAAATTGAAATTGCTGAATTATCTTTACTTTCTAAGATTTCCAGGTTGAAGTAATATTTCAAAACTTCCCAATTTTCGAGAAACCTTTCAAGACACTTCTGTAAGACAAGCCATCTTGTACCTGATAATTTTAAAATTTTACGTGACTCCAAAAAATTCTTGAAATTCACACAGAATAGCTGATCTTTTAGCATTGCTAGAAAAATATGTAGCAACTGCATGTAAAACATTTTCACAAGAATCCGGCAATTTTGCACAAGCTTTACTTGCAATAAGAGCTGAGGAATGGCAAATACATCTTAAGACAATGAGGGTCGGTACCTCTTTTTTTAATCTAGTCATAAAAGAATTATTATTTCCTACCATAACTAAGACATTATCAGAAGCCATTCCTACAATATTTGAGATCGGTATTTGTTTACTTTTTAAACAATGTTCAAACGCAGAGTATAGTTTTTCTGTGCGGAATAATCTGTAGCGTCTAAAGAAATTAATTCTAATAATTCTGTAACAATTTTATTATATTGTACTGAAAAATATTTAACTAAAACGCAAAGCATATTATCATTTGTGATACTTGTGCTTTCGTCCAATGAAATGGAAAATTTTGTATTTAATAAATTATTTGTTATTCTTTCAGTTTCACGTTTACCTAATATATTATTAATTATTTGCGTACACTTTTTCCGTGACAATGTAAAATCTTTTGCTATCTGTGAGTCAGTGAAAGTGCCTTTGGGCACTGAGACCATGTCATCAATTATTTCTAAAGCAATGTGTCGCATAAAAAGCAATTAATTTTATTTCAGTTATTTTAACTTTATTAGCATGGTCCTCAAATATAATTATCCTATGCAACTAATGAAGCAGATGGATTTACATTACGACTCTTAGCTATATTTTTAGCATGCATTTGAGTTTTTCGGTGTCTGATTAAATCTGTTTTGCCGCATGATAAAACTTTCTTACAAACCGAGCAAACAGCTTTTGTATCATCCTTTTTTTTTTTTTTTGT